TTAGTCACATTACTTCTTTATCACATCACTTCAAACTCAATTCATATCTAATTCATATTTTATAAAAATTTAAAAAATACACTTATTTAAATCATCTCAAACCACCCAAAACAAGCGTCCAATTAGGACAGTTTGAGTTTGGTTATAACCTTATGGGCCATGCCTGGCTGCTGCTGCTACCAGTACTACTAATAATAATATAATGCTAGCAGCACACGTCGACTCTACCTTCATCAAGATTTCTCGAAAAAAAAAAAATCTAGCTTCAATGTGATGTTTTTAACCCGATTATAATATAATTTAATCACATTTATTTTTTTTTAAATAAATATGGGCCATGCCTGGCTGCTGCTGCTACCAGTACTACTAATAATAATATAATGCTAGCAGCACACGTCGACTCTACCTTCATCAAGATTTCTCGAAAAAAAAAAAATCTAGCTTCAATGTGATGTTTTTAACCCGATTATAATATAATTTAATCACATTTTTTTTTTAAAATAAATGATAAATATAATTTAAAAAATAAATAAAACTAAGCCACTATAATTATTGAATCAATTTATCAATTAATTTGTTTGGTTCTAGTTTCAGAAAACAGTTTTTAGAAAATTTTATTTTTTTATTTCCCATATTTTAATATTTTCATTTAAATAATTTTTTTTAATTTTTAGACACTTAATATAAATACCCTTAAAAAGTATAATATTTATAAAAAAAATTAAAAATACACTAAATAACAAAAAATATAAAAAAAAATACGAAAATTCAGTATATTTTTCATATTTTTGTATATTTATTAATTTTTTAAAATATTTAGATACATCTAAGTAAGGTGCATTTAAAAAAGTAAAAAAATTTCTTAAAATTTAAAAAATATTTACTAAAAACAAAAAAAAAACAAAAAAAAAAATTAATTTTCAGAAAATTGAATTCAGAGAAAACTAAAACCAAACATAGTAAATAGTATTTTGTTGAATACATCATGTCTTTTCACCTTAATAGCCTTATGTATAAGGATAATTATTTAGTAATCCCGGAGTATGGACATGCGGTACTCTATAAGGTTTTGATTGGTAGAAAGGGGTAGTGACCCACGATTTATGCTGGAAATGGAAGAACAACATGAAACTAAGTAATTAGTGATTAATTTGAAATATGATCACGTGATGTTTTGAAATTATTAAATAATTTCCATGCATAGTCACTACTATAGCCCCAATCACGGCTACTAATAAAATAAGACTAGGAATCAAAAATCAAACGGAATAGGAATGTGATTGTTTTAGGAAGATAGTTAAAAATTAATTTTTAATTATTAATATAAGAGATGATACGATTAAAAATGAATTGAAAGTTAGAAAATAATATAAGTTGTCTAAGGTTTCCAAATTAGTCCAACTTCATTCCTTTCCAGCATAAACCTATATCTCATAGAGGTCGTAATTTTTTGGGTTGATAGTAGTGAAATGCTTTCATTATCTAAAATGAAAGAACATTTCTCATCAAAAAGATCAATCTAATAATACCATTCACTGATAAACAGTGCAATACTTTTTCATGATATGGCTTCGTTTAGTGTAGCTGTTAAAACAGTTTATAGATTATAATTTAACAGATTATAGATTATGACTTTAATTAGAAATTGTTAATCTGTTTGGTGTAGCTGTTGGATTATAGATTTAAGTTGCTGAGTAGTGTTTGTTAAATAAGCTGTGAAATAGTTTTTTCAATTAATTTTTATTTTTTGTTTGTCTACATTTCTCATAAAAAATAATAATAATAATCTATAGTCCATTTGAGTCTTTTTCTATTTTTAAAAAAATAAAAAATAAAAAAATTTAAGAGTATAACCATAAATTAACATGTCCACAGTAGAAACTAATAATCAGAAGTAAGGGGTGAGCAGCTTCTCAGAATCAGCTTTTTTGAATTAAAATAAGCTGTTAAAATCAGAAACTGTTTGAAATAAGTTTAACCAAACAGTCCAAAATAACTTTTTCAAAACTAAAAGCCATAAGTTGGCACTGAAAAGCTGAAACAAACACCCCCATAGAACAATGATGGAGATCCCGTCTTTACAAGACTCTTACAAAATTTTCACAAATCTAATAAAAAAATTTAAGAGTATAACCATAAATTAACATGTCCACAGTAGAAACTAATAATCAGAAGTAAGGGGTGAGCAGCTTCTCAGAATCAGCTTTTTTGAATTAAAATAAGCTGTTAAAATCAGAAACTGTTTGAAATAAGTTTAACCAAACAGTCCAAAATAACTTTTTCAAAACTAAAAGCCATAAGTTGACACTGAAAAGCTAAAATAAACACCCCTATAGAACAATGATGGAGATCCTGTCTTTACAAGACTCTTACAAAATTTTCACAAATCTGAACTATTTATGATATGAACCTCACATATATATGGAGGGTAATGATCACTTTGGAGGTGTGGAGGTCATTCTCAAAAGAGGTTCCAAATATTTTCCATATATACATATATATATATATATATAATATGACAAAAGAGTTTTTAAATTTGTATATATTTTTGTCTTACATGACGTCATTAATGATTCAAAATACATTTCTTAACTATTTAAGGATCAAGGTGATTTATTTATTTTACATTTCTCTCCAAAATGGGTCGTTCAAGATCTCTCTTCCCCATGATCTATTCCATCTTCTCTCTCTCTCCCTCCGTGACATAATTTTCCAGATTGATCTACGAGATGTATCTATAAAACTCTAATAGTATATCCTTTGTAGTTAATTCTTGCAAATTTGCTTGCACTTTCAAGATTCACTTTGGATCAAATTATTTTTTTCATTGAGTGAAACATGCTAATGTGATATTTGTTTTTTATTTAAAAAAAAAAAAAAAAACTCATGACAACTGATTTTGTGGCTTTTAAGTTTTTGACTTTTTAACCTATCGCCAAATGCATCCTTAATTCTCGATTCACATCATTAGTTTTGTTTGATTTCTTACTACTTTCTTCTTCTTCTTTTTTTTTTTTTTTTTTTTTTTTTTTTTTGTGGCTCTTTTTCAAAGAAATTGGCCCTCTGCATTTGATATTTAAGCGTTTGTATTTTTTAAATCATTTATTTAACGTGATATTATTTATCAATTTTTTGGTGAATAACATAAATTCTACAACAAAGTGAGTTTGAACTGACGATGTTGTATGTATTGCTTTAGTTGCCTTTATTGCTTTAGTTCATCAAATTTATATGTATGTTTTCAAATTTATTGTTTCATTGTGATGGTTGTTTGGTGATTTTTATTTTTATTTTTTAAATGTGTTTCATGCATAAATTTCAATTTCAATTTCAATTTGGACTATCCAGGTAATAAATGATGAACTTCATAATTTTGGGTTTCATCATTTTATGGTAATAAATTATTGAATTTCATTTTGTTCCTTTTTTAAAAACATAATTATTATTAATGATCATGACATGCTTAGAAAAACACAATAGATTTTGCATAAGTGAGATTTTTGTCCCTACTAAATATGAGTTTCTCAGTGTTTTCCTAATTCGTAAATAAATGTTTCTCTACTCTTAATGTTTATATTTTTATAAATTTTCACCAAGCTTTTCACAAAAATTGTAAGGTAAGCCTTTTTTTATGTTTTTTTTATTACTATTATCTTAATTATTATCTTAAATGTTTATATCTTAATTATTTCTATCTATGACAGTTATTTACCGATGGTTTTATTATCCAAATAAATTCAACCGAATGTACAAGTGAAGACTTTTGAAAATGTCCAATTTGTCTTAGAGAAATATAATTTGTATGTGTTTTTATAGGTTATTTACGTCTAACTTGACCAAAAATTATGTTTTTTTTTAATATTAAAAACATAATTATTATTAATGATCATGGCATATTTAGAAAAACACACTAGATTTTGCATACTAATATGAGTGTCTTAGTGTTTTCTTAATTCGTAGATAATTGTTTCCCTACTCTTATTGTTTGCATTTTTTTATGTGTTTTTTTATTTTTATTTCTTCTTATCTTGATTGTAACCAATTAAGTATTTAAATTAAATTTTGGATTTTTTTAGGTTGAAGCATACACATATTTTGTAAAGCTTTAACCGAATATTTTGTAAAGCATACATATATTATTGACTCAGGTGTATGACAATATAATGTTTGTTTTGCTTATGTAATTATAATTTGATTGGCAACAGTAATACTAGCAGGTGTGCATTGTTCGGTGTTTAATTTAATTAATGTTTTTTTAAAGATTGTAAACTATTAGCTGATGTGCATTCCTTTTTTTAGATTGCAGAGCACTGGTTAGTGTGTATTAATTTATTTAATTTGTTTGAAATTGCAGAGTATAGATTGGTACGCATTATTTGATGTTTAATTTTTAATTTAATTTATTGAGATCACATAGCACTGGTTGGTGTGCTTTATTTGATGTTTAGTATTTATTTATTTATTTATTTTTAAGATTATAGAGTAGTAACAAGTGTATAATATTTTTAATTTTTTAGTGTTTTGTTTTGTATTTACAATTTTTTCTTAACTTGCTTGGCAGGTATGCTTTCACTATTTTGATTTGTAATATGTTGTTAATTTTATTTCAATTATGTAGAGCGTGTGGTATAAATAAAATTGTTAGAAATTTTTTAAGAAGAATAATATTTATTTATATTGTCTTTATTAAATTTCAACATAATAGGTATAAATTATAATTGTATTTAATATATATATATATATATTGCCAAAACAGAATAAATCATTTTATTGGAGGCCAAACAGTCAGAAAGTAAGGCCAAGTTTGGCAACACCAAAATAATCTATCTTTTTATCTTTTTATCTTTTTATCGTCAACTCGTCCATAAGAATAAAGGTGATGTCCAGAATTGTAACAACTATAGAGGAATCAAGCTAATGTGTCATATAATGAAAGTGTGGGAGAGGGTGATAGAACGTCGATTGCGAGACATAACAGAGGTGTCAGAGAATCACCAACCTCTTGAATTCCTTGTTTCTATTATTATCAATATTTACATCCCATGATTGCTCATAGATTTACTATTTGTTTCACGTGATTCTTTTTAGAAATGATCAAATCGAAGCTATCTCTACCCGGCTTCCAGTTGACAAGGCTGACCTGAAAAATTTCTTTCCCAAGTGAGCCAACATTCTTACTTTCATTCAACCTTGTTACAAAATTCACATTGCTAAGATGCCAATTAGATCACTATATTTAACTTTGATATCTTTCCCTTTTTTTCTTTGAAATTAGGTCTTGGTGTGATCGCTATGGTGATGTCGTGTTAAATGTGGTCAAAAAAGAATTCAAGGACCATGTTGGAGAAATGGAGGGTTTGAGAAATGCTGCCAGGGAGAAACAGAACGGCTCCAAAAGATGGGCAACATTCGATGATGATGAAAACTGTCACCCAAATCTTTTTGCTCCTCAGGAAAATTCATTTACAACGAAGCAAGCAAAGCATAGTAGCCCTTTGAAGGATGATCGCGCTTACAAGTGCTTCAAAAATAATCCTTTCTTTCCGGATTATGACCAAACCAGGTTCGATGGGAATAAGCAGAGACCAGAATCGGCAAATATTCAAGACCAGAATCCCTTCTGGAGACCAAGGCATGGCTACTCCATGTTGGGTTAGATGAAAACTAGAGTCCCAGTTCATTTTAATGCTATTTGGGTTATTTGCATCAAGGATCTATTATTGAAGAACATTGTTCTTCAAATAGATTCTTCTGTTGTTTTACTTGTATTCTTTATGGGATTTACTCCATATGTGCAGTAAATTTGAAGGGTATTATGCTCTAAGGCAATAACAGCCACTGTTAACTGCAATTTTAACCACTAGTGCTGTGATGGCAACTACTGCTCCATCCAAAAAACCCTATCCAATCGCATGCCAAAAAGCTTGGCTCAAGATTTAGCAATGCTATTTGTGCAGCTCAGATCACTCAAGGGAGGGTTTTGCTCGCTTCGAGCGTTTTGATCTAGTTCTTTGGATGTGAGACATCCAACAGACAATGACTTGAATCTGCAAAAAAACATTTAACACCATTGAATCAACATCACTAAAAAGTTGACATTTAGACACAGGAACATGCCTAATACACTCAATTTCCTCCTATTTTGCTGAGTAATAATTTTCTCCTCCTCAAAAGAGGCCAGGCTTTGTTATATAGCAAGTCAATTAGGCATGCGAGTTATGTTAGGCATGGCGATTTAGTTAACTATATACAAGGTGGAACTACATTGGAGCTATGGCACCCTCACTTTCCGCACAAGTCTCCTATGTACGGTAAATACTATATTATACATGTCCGGCGAAACTCTTTATAGCAGGGGTGAGTTCCACCAAATGAATTTTTTATTTTCCGTGTAGGCACCAAGTCAATAAAAGGGCACTTTTTTTTTCAGTTTCTACATATCTTTTAATTGTAAAAAAAAAATAAAAATAAAAAGGAAAATTTACTTATAAATCCCATCTTGAGGAATGGTAATCTATTTAGTCGTTTGGATTTTTATATAAACCAATTAGTCCCATTAATTTTGGAAACGTAAATTTAATATATTATTTAAAAATTAGATTTACGTTTATACGCTTATTTCTATTGCGTTCCTTATCGTTCTTTCTTGTTTTTTTTTATTCAGATGAATTTTTATATAACAATTTTTTTATTTGGAAAACATTTCAAGAGGAATACAAAAATGATTTAAAATATGGAATTTTTCAAACATATCAAAAGGATATGAGATTTTTCAAATATTTGAAAAGAAGTACAAAAACTACTTGATAAGTTTTGACCAAATATATAATTTCAAACTCAAATACTCTAACGTAATACTCCAATGTAACACTCAAAAAACAAATCTTAGTGTAATACCCTAATGTAACACAAAAAAAAAAAAAAAAATTCTTACTATACTTCTCCCAAACTTAACATTCTAATATAACACTTCAAAAAAACTTCTTAATGTAATACATAAAAAAATTTCTTATTGTAACACTCTAATGTAACATACAAAAAAAACTTCTTAGTGTATTTTTCTCAAATGTAACATTCTAATATAATAATCTAAAAAAATTCTTAGTGTAATACTCTAATGTAACAGACAGAAAAATTCCTTAGTGTAACACACACAAAATACTTCTTAGTGTATTTTTTCCTAATGTAACACTCTAATATAATAATTTAACAAAACTCCTTAGTATAAAACTCTAATGTAACACATAAAAAACCCTTCACCTACCACCACTACCACCTCACCTACTCCACTAAACCTAACCCACTACACCACTACCACCTCCACTTCACCTACTCTCCACCTACTCCCAAACACACTCCTATATAATAGGAATCCTTGTAATTGTAATATCTACACAAATACAATCAATCAATAATATACATCAATTTTTCTTACAAGTGTACAGACTCTTCAACTATCAAAATAGGGCGAAATACACTTGTCCCTATACTCTAGGGTTTGTATTATTTTAGTCTTTTACTTTTTAATTATGAAATATTTGACTGTAAATTTTGAATCTTATTCTAAATAACAACAATTGAAAATACCATTACTTAATTTCAAAGGCAAAATCATTAATTTGATAAAAATAAATGTCAAAAAAATATTTTTAAATTTTTAAAAATTATTTATACACACCAAAGATAAAATTATGTGAAATTAATAAATCTTTTAAACATTTATTTATTTTTTTTATCAAATTAATTTTTATTATGTGTTTGGATGATAATTATGTAATAGGTGGTTGTTAGAATTTTAATGTGTAATATATATATTTAATATATGAAATATTTTTAGTTTTAAATTTTTTTTGATTTAATGGATTGGTTTAATAATAATGTCAAAGTTATCACCATATTTGACTTTTAGAAAAATAAAAACTAATTTAATGAAAATAAAAATAACTACTTATTACATGATCATCATCCAAACACATAATAAAAATTAATTTGGTAAAAAAAATAAAATAAATGTCTAAAAGATTATTAATTTTACATAATTTTATCTCTAGTGGATAGAAATAATTTTTAAAAATTCAAAGCATTTTTTAATATTTATTTTTGTCAAATTAGCTTATATTTTATCAAATTGACATTTTTGTCCTTGAAATTAAGTAATGGTATTTTCAATTGTTTTTATTTGAAACAAGATTTAAAATTCAAAGTCAAATGTGTTACAATTGAAAACTCAAAGTGACGCAAGTCCCAAACAATAGATACCGTTAGTATAATTCACCCATCAAAATATTACTTATGTCAATAAAAAGAAACAATAAAATGACCAAATTACCCTCTCTTTTCTATACCTCACACACATTCTCGTTTTGAAATGCAACAAAAATCATTACAATTATAAATATATATAAATAAATTCATCAAAATCTTAACCCTACCCCTTTGCCTCCCTCCCCCTATTCATTCAAATCATTTTTTTCAGTGCCCTCTGTGCATATCATTCATAAAAAAATCAGTGATATTACATATATCAATTAATATACTAATTAATATACCAACACTGGTTATAATATTATTATTGAGCCTACTTATTAATTACATTACAAATACATAAAACTTTTTAAATTATGCCACGTCATCAATTGATACACTAATTAATATACTAATTGGTACATATAGTATTATTCTAAAAAAAATTAATTCGATTCAATAATCATAAAATCTTCATTTTCAAAACGCAATAAAATTAGGAGATAAGATTAGGGCTAACTAATTTATACTATCCCCAATTGACAAAATTAGCTTCAACATGGCAATAGGGAACAACAGCATCCTCAAAATTGTAAAAAAGAAAATAAAAATTAAAAAAAAGAAATCACAATTTGCTTCTGTTTCAAGAAGTAAGAAATTTTGTTACATACACTGGAAACTCCTTCAAATCAGCATGTTGCCATCGGTTTTCTGTGTCTCCAAAGTTGCCTCTAATGTAAGAAGAAGCTGCAATAAGTTCTCAATCCCTACAGCATTGCCTCTATTGAAAGAAGAAACCAAGCTCAGGAAGCTGATGCTTTTTTATGTTGGGCTGGAGGTACTTGATCTGAAGCTGGTGGATCCAAATTTACTTCATTTTCTGTGGGCATTTCATTTGTTGCCGGTGCTACAGAGTCCATTTGATCCGTTGATGTTGGGGCACACTCATTTTTCTCAGTTGGCAGTAGGAAAGAAACCGTTTGATCTGCAGGTGGTGGTAGGGTAGAAGCAATTTGATCGGTTGCTGAAGGGGCAAGGTTGTTGTCCATATTGTCTGTCGCTGGCAGAGTAGATGTTGGAGGAGCGGAATTATTTTGGTCTGGATTCATTTCGGGTATTTCATATTCAGATAGGAGATCCGTAAACTCATTAAGCAGACGCTGAACTTTTCTGTTTGATGCCATTGCCGGAAGAATATCTTCCCTTAGGAGTCTGTGCTTCTTCATTCCCTGCAAAAGCCCCAATAAGAGAGAGAGAGAGAGAGAGAGAGATTGGAAATTGTCCCAAGAAATACAATTCCCACAATCCCATATGTGAAACAATACAAAGCTCATTACTACAGCAAGCACCACCATTGTTGGACCCTAGACCTTCTGGCTCTATTTGGTTGAGTTTTCAAATTTTGTTTACTGAATTTTTTTGAAATGATACACTAGTTTGGAAAAAATCACCAAACCAAACTAAGCTTTAAGTCTCATCAAATGGGGTTGGTTACATGAATCTTTCTTCTCCACGCGGCCCTATCAAAGGCCATTTCGTTAGTCAAATTAAGTAAATCCATATCTCTATTTACAACGCTAGCCAACGTCAATTTAGGCCTACCTCATCCACTAACACTCTCATCTACCTTTACAGTATCGTATCTCTTCACTACAGCCTCTATTGGTCTCCGTTGAATGTGATCAAACCATTTCAATCGATTCTCTCTCAACTTATCTTCTATCGGTATTACTCCTACCCATTCCCGAATACACTCATTCCTAATTATGTCTTGTCTTGTCTAGTCTTGCCACACATCCACTTGAGCATTCTCATCTCAGCCACACTCATCTTATCTACATATTGTTTCTTGATTGCCCAACACTCCGTCCCATACAACATCGCTAGTCTAATAACCATTCTATAGAACTTACTTTTTAGTCTAGTGGGTATTCGTTTATCGCACAGTACACTAGACGCACTTCTCCACTTACACCATCTCGCCTTAATCCTATGGGCCACATCCGCATCAATCTCCCCCACTGTTGTGATAATTGACCCTAAATAACGAAAATGTTCACTCTTAGACAGTTCGTGGTTCTCAATCTTCACTTCTCATCTACTTTCATTGTTACTGTTTGCTGGAAATTGTGTTCATGCATATAATATGATAGTGGTGTTGGTGGTAGATAGTGGTATGTATAGAATATGATAGTGGTGTTGGTTGTAGATAGTGGCATGTATAGAATATGATAGTGGTGTTGGTGGTAGATAGTGGCATGTATATAATAAGATAGTGGTAGATAGTGGTAATATATAATATGTAAGTGGCATATAATGGGTTATGATGATGTTTGTAATATCTCCTATATAAGGAGTGTCATTTGGTCTTGTAAGATAAGAAGTTTTGAATATAACAGAAATATATTCCTTCTTCCTCATATTTTCGGAATTCTTCTTCTTCATATTTTTCTAAGTCTGTTACTAAATTTACACTCCATGTACTTTATCTTAGTTCTGCTTATCCGGAAATCCTTTAGATTCAAGAGCTTTTCTCCAAGTCTCCAACTTTGTCTTAACTCATTCTCTAGTCGCACCCACTAATACAATATCGTTTGCAAAAAGCATACACCATGGCACGTCATCCTGAATATTTCTCGTCAACTCATCCATAACTAAAACAAAAAGATAAGGACTTAAGGTAGATCCTTAGTGTAACCCTATAGTGATAGGGAATTCATTTGTTTCTCCAGCAGCCGATTTAATAGTGGTCACCACCCCTTCATACATGTCCCTAATCACATCAATGTAACCTTTTGTCACCTATTTCTTCTCTAACACCCACCATATTATATCCCGGACACTCTATCATATGCTTTCTCAAGGTCAATAAACATCATATGAAAGTCTCTTTTCTTTTCTCTATACTTTTCTATTACTCTTCTCAAAAGATAAATAGCTTCCATTGTTAACCTGTCAGGCATAAACCCAGATTGATTCTCTGACACCTCTGTTATATCTCGTAACCGGCGTGCCATCACCCTCTCCTACACTTTCATTATATGACACATTAGCCTGATTCCTCTATAGTTGTTGTAATTCTGAACATCTCCTTTATTTTTATAGATTGGCACTAAAATACTCTTCCTCCACTCATCTGGCATATTCCTAGTCAACAAAATTTTGCTAAATAATCTAGTCAACCAAGCAACCCCCTTTTTACCCAAACACTTCCAAGCTTCAATAGGGATATCATCGGGTCCTAAACCCTTATTTAATTTCATCTTCTTAAGTGCAATCTCCACTTCAAAGTTTCTAATCCTGCAATAGAACCTATAATCTTGGTTTATCGTATTACTGACTATTTTTTCCTTTATTACCGTATCTCCATGTTCCTCATTTAATAGTTTCTCAAACTAGTTCTTCCGTCTTTCCTTGATCTCTTCATCCTTCACCAATACCTTAGAATTCTCACTCTTGATGCACTTAACTTGATTAAAATCTCCTGTTTTCCTCTCCCGTATCTTAGCAAGTTTGTATACCATTTTCTCTCCCTCCTTACCATCTAGTATAGTGTATAGGTCATCATAAGCTTTCAACTTAGCCTCTCTCACCACTTTTTTGACCTCCTTATTAGCCAATCTATAGCTCTTAAAATTTTCCTCAATTCTATCATTCTGTTACTTTTTAAAGCACTCTTTTTTTGCCTTAACTACCGCTTGACCCTCTTCCCTCCACCACCAAGTTTTCCTAGAGTTGGGTCTCGTCCCTTTCGACTCTCCAAGCACTGCCCTTGAGATTTTTCTCATACAGTTGGCTATTGAGCTCCACATAGTGTTAGCATCATATTCCAAGTCCCAAGTACCTTCCTTATCCATTCTATTCTTAAATATTTCTAGTTTGGACAAAATAAAACACCAAAAAGATATTATAAAATTTTTAAAAATTATTTCTACCCAAAAAATGCAGTCTTTGAATTTTTTGAAGTCTTTAGTATTTTAATAGTAGATATTGGCCCTGTTTGGTAGAACTGTGGAAAAGTACTTATAACTTATGCCTTAACAGCTTATAGCTTATAACTATGATCATAAACTGATTTCTGACTTATAAATTAAGCATCTCCTACCCCACTCAAAGAATAAGCTGATTTCTGACTTACAAAAAGCTATAAACTGCATTGTTAAGCTAAACCAAACACATCAAAATAGCTTAAATTAAGCTGAAAGTTGAAATAAGCCGCTTTTAAGCTACACCAAACAGGCACATTATACTATTGTTGAAATTGTTATCTAAGAAGTTTTGTGGGGTTTCAAGAAGCCTTACCAGCACACAAGGATCCCACACCGGGTTCTTAGGATCCACAGAAGCAGCTTCAGCCATCCCAGTTGGAGGTCCAAGAAAGCTCTCACAAACTTCTCGTAAACGTGACTCATCTGCTTCTCTGCAATCCAAGTAATAGAACAAATTTTTTTTTTTTTTGGGTCAGCAACAAAGAAAATTGAGAAAGTTCCGTGGTAGCAAAAATTAATGTAATTTATGAAGACAAATTAGAATACCATAATTTTGAGCCTGAGTAAAATGAGGAGTTCACTCACATGCACTAGAAAGAAAATGGATACTGAACCAACCTTGCTAGAAATCGTATGTAGGACAGAAGGCACTGACGATATTCACTAGGGGACTTCAACGCTAGCGTGGATGCAAGTTGAGTTTCCAAATGAGCACGTGTCTGCACCCCATCATCAGTTACCCTGCACCAGCAACAGCCATATAGCCAATAAATAAGACAAGATGAGACAATTCGAGAACAGTTAAAATATTAAAAATAAAAAAAAATTACATAGAAGCAAGAAAACTGTAACTGTGGAGCATGGAAAATTAAATTCCATCCCAAAAAATAAGGGATTCAGAAAATAGTAAGGTAATCATTTAGTAAATGGAAGAACATATTGAGTATGGTAAAAGCATGGTAATCCAAAAAAATGAAAATCAAGTCGAAATAGTTCAGTGAGAAGTTTATAAAGGTGATTGCAAGACGAAAATTGTTGAATTTTGCAACAAAATCAATTAGCAGAATGGCCAAAAAGGATTCATAACCTACTTGAGTGAAACACAAGGCTGCTTAGTTTGGTTAGCATGTTACACAAGGATTTCATTCTTTAATGGTTATTTCAATCATCAAAGAAAGGGCATACTAAATGAACATTGTGTGTAAATATGAGGCTCATTCAAAATTTCAGAATTTGTCACAGCCCATACAAACCTGCTCCAACCTGGCTTTCTAGCCAAGAACTTCCCAACATCCACTTGCAAGGGAGATAGCTCGCCATTCTGAATTGAACCCAAATTCCATGAGCTTGCGAAATTTGATGCGGGGAAGCAATCATCGGCAACCCTCAGCCAACACATGAGGTTCATATCAAAGAGGAAGGCATGGCGTGTGGCTAGAACAACAAGAGGAAAACCAGATTTCGATAACTTTGCAGATATGATCTTGATTGTGCCTGGGAATAGATTGAGAAGAAAAAGTCTATAAACCATATACATCAAAAGCATGGCTGCAAGGAAATTAAAATAAAATACGAAACTAACATAACATGTTATCAAAGGTGGGGAAAATAAATATTCCAACTTTCCTTTTAGGATACAAAGAGAAGAAAGAAAAAAAATATGAGAAAGAAAGAACTAGATAGCAAAGGAAGGAGAGGAATCCTTCTTCCAAGCCTCTCAATTACAAGAGAAGGAGAAAAGGGGGAGAAGCGAGAGAGCAAAGAAGAAAGAAAGAGTGCATGAACTAATTCCATTTCTCATATACAAGAGAAAGAAAAGGGGAAAGTGAGAGAGTGAAAGAAAAAGAGCTCAAAGCTCCTCCACAAATTTTCTCATTCAAATTTTATTCATCTGTATGGGCTAATGCTGGTTTATACTAATAAAGACAATCTCTTGGCCTTATAAAACCCTTAAACAAGTAGAACCATCTGGAGTTCTTACTGAAGTTCCTTCCTAAACCCTTGACAAGATAAAATAGTAAAACAATACAGCATATATATATACATGAAAACTCCTAATATGACTAAAACAACAAAGTAATCCAATTGTTGCATCTTTTTGTCTCATAAATATTGTTGATTTGGTGGAATCCAATATGGTTGAAGCGTTGGCTGTATTTGGGACACTTCAAATATGGATAATAATAATCAGTAGACAGAACACTACTTTAAAATTTTAGAAAAACACTCTAGTCCAAAATTTTAAGTCTTTCTAGGTTACCTGAATCTTTAGCAGTTGACTTTGGATCTGAAGGAACCAGTGAAGCCAATGAATCATGGAGAAGGCATTTCCTGTTGAACAGATCCCATACATATAAAGCTCCCTTAGTCGTGACAAGCAGCAACTTCCAACACTCATCACAATCGATGAATACTGCTGAAGATCCCATCATCATAGTAGGCATGGCACGTCTCCCACATTTTGTGTATACCTTCACAAGGACCAACATTAATTGTTTACATAAATCACATGACAAACACTACTTGAAAGAAAAAGAGAACAAAAAAAAAAAATCATTTCCAAAATAACTAGAAAAAGAAAAAGAGGAAAAAAGAAGATAAATATATATAGGGTTAATTACACTTCACCCCCTTCTAGTTTAACTTGAAAACACATAAGCCCCTGATGGCTTAGAAATATACACATAAATACCCTTCTTATTTTTTTTTGAAAAGCAACATAAATACCCTATGATTTGGACTGAATTGCTAAATTGACAGAATCTGTTAAAGATAACAGTGTGTGTGGGTCAATTGTTACCGAGGCGCGTGGTAATTTTGCTTTAATGAATTCTGATATTAAAATTACCATAGTGCCCTTATTTAAATTTTTACTTTTTCTTTCATCTTCTTCATTGACTTCATCATCTCCCTCTGTTACTCCTTTCCTGTCACAGCAACTGGTCTACCAATTGTGGCTGGTAGCAACCATCATACTTTCAAAATCCATTTCAACTCTATCACACATATATATACATACATGTATATTTGTACTTCATATATATACATATTAGACAGGCCACCATGTGCTTTATTTTCTTCAAGATAAAATTCATTTTTCCTTTCTCTAAAAATGCGGTTCTCTCAAAAATCAGATTTCATTTTTTCTCTTCTTCACATTCATTTATTTATTTTTCTTTTTCTTTTTATTTCCGTATTTTTCCCTTTTTCTTATTTCTCTTCCATTTCTATTCTCTTTTCCCTCTTCGTTTCCTACTCCAGTAACAGCCCACCTGCAATCACCAAGCATCAATTTTCCAAGGACATGGCCAATCACCACCCGCAACCAGTGTTCACCAACTTTACATCCAACTTTGCAAACCATTTAAACCAACCATTGTCACATGGAGATCCACATATAATACACCCAAAGTAGCCCATGCCAAATCAAACTAACATGGCCAACTTAAAAGAGAACAAACACTAATTTTGAAGGCATCATCATAGGCTCGTAAGCCCCTTACATTGTTCAATATATATGCCTTTAACATAGGACATTTTATGAGCTTATATATACACATAAATATATAAGAGAAATTATAATAAGAGGGGGGGTTTCTAGAATGGGCAGTATTGGTGGTAGAGCAGCGAGAGAAATAAGAGGGTGGGTCATTCCTTTTAGAGAGAGAAACACAGTGGTCTAGGGAAGAAAATTGGATACAAAAGCAAGGGTAATATAGACTTTTAATAGAAAAATTTAATGGAGTGTGAAATTATACTTCAGTCCAAATGACGTGGAGGTTTTGTGTACATTTCTCAATCATAGAGGGCGCATGTGTTTTTGAACCAAACCATAAGGGGGGGTAAAGTGTGATAACCCATATATATACTTCTTTATATGCACAATGAAATTAAAACAAATTTCCAGTGAACCCATCTAACATCATATCAGTCAACTACTAGACCATCTATAGTCTTGATATTCATTCTAACCACTGCAGAATATGATAAATGGATAATTTTATAGTGGCGGTAGTTTCCATATGACAAAACTTGGGCTCTCCTGTGTTGAGCTTGGGATGTATTTGTAATGGGTTAGTAGGCTACAATGAGTGTCTGAGTGTGTTAGGCTTGAAACTGGCGGCACCATTGACGCAAGAATTCCATGATTCGTCTACACCTAATGCTTGATTACTTAAATAAAGGTCCTGCTAGCGACCACCCATTGGGCATTCATTAAGAGTCGAATAATGCCAAATAATACACATTTCACATATTTTCATACACTTTAATATAGTTACATACACTTCTCACATATTTCATTACAGTTTTTGCATATTGGTTAGCATTTCCCTTCACCCTGTATATTCTTTCTGTCAGTACTTTCTCCATGGTTCCCTATATACAATGCCTGATTATTTTAAAAATTCGCATAGTTTTGACTCTAGATTAAAATACTTCTTCACAACCAATATATTTTTATCAGAACTAGATGAAAGAAAGAAGAGAATATTTTGAAGTAATAAAAAAAAATAGCTAAAAAATAACTGAAGAACCAAAAAAAAAGAAGCAAAGAAAAGAGAAGAAGAATTGAGTGATGCATATAATCCATATCAAGCAACAAAATCTATTTCTCTAGGAACAATATTGGCAGGAGAAGAAAACTAAAATGCAAGAGTTCAAGAACTCCATACTAACCTGTAGGCATCCATCTTCACACCCAACAGCCCAAAAATTGGCATTTCCAGCCAAAACTGTGATTTTCCCAGAGATCCTATCAGACCAAAGAGTTTGAGCCCCTCTTGTACAAGCAATTTCTGTTTCTTTCATCGCAAATGTATTTCCGACTCCAACAATGTCAGTTGCAGCATGTTCTCGAGGACGAGCTTCCAAGCAAACTGGTACGGTATCGTCCCCTTCTGTCTTGTCAAAAATCCTAATTGAAAGAGTACTAGAAGCAGCCGAAGAACCACAAGCCATCACAATTCCTGTCTGTTCAACACTGATGCTTCCATCCCTATCTGCAGAGGCTGGAACCTTTTCAATTACTAGACTCTCACTGATGGTAGCTCTAGCAGTGACACCTGAACGCTCTTTTATGTCCGAGCTTCCACCTACTGTTCTCCTGATACAGCCTTCTCTAATCCCAACCATCCCATTATCTTCCTTTCTGTGATCCGATGAGTTCAGAGGGAAGTCAAGCACTTGAGGTTGCAAATCACCAGAGATGTTTTCCAGCTGAACAGGCACTCCAACTGCCTCAGGAATTATCCTTTTTCTTCCATCGGGACGCCTATATTCTCTTTGCTTCACAGGACTAGAAATCCGAGCAGTAGTTGCCGCCGCCTTATTTAACGCATCAACACTAGCTCCCGAACTCTTCTTCCCATCATCGACTTGAGATTCAGAAGCTTTTACGGAAACCTCCAAATGAGCGGAAGATAATATGGTTGTCTGGTTCTGTGAGACATTTGGGGTCACCTTTTTGCTCTTGGTTTGTTTAGCTGAGGCTGCTTCAAGCAACAACTGTGCCGGGCTTTCGGCTAAGTTTGCTTGTCGGCCTCCGACATCACCATAACGACTTTTCTTCAGCTCTTCCAATTCAGCATCAGTTAGCCTCTGGCCAAGTTCTTTCTCCTCAAAATGGAAAGTAGCCACTGTCCCATCCAAGGAACAAGCAAGTAGTGAGTACCCATCAGGGCTCCTGTTCCACAAAAATAAATAAATAAAATAGAAATATTAATTAGAAAGAAACAAGAACAGGGAGGCAGGAAAAAGAACATTCAGATTAAAATATGCTAATCAATACCATGAAATTATCTATTTTCTACAATAAGATATTTTGGTCATTGAATAACTAGCTCACCAGGATAAATCCACCACACTTTGAGTAAAGAAATGCTTGGCCACAAAGAGAGGTCGAGGACTCGCAGTTGTCCATACAGTTATAGTCCGGTCCTGACTCCCTATTGCAATCACATTATATGGCAATGGTTCATTCTCTTCAGTCTTAGAAGTTCCATTAGTCCAACCAACAGGTGCAGCTTTTACTTCCTGAGCATTAGATAAACTCCTTGTGAACATTGAGTGATTGAATTTCACCACAATAACAGGGGCATTATGTCCTAAGAAGTCGAAAGTTGCAGACCATTCCCCTCTCTCTAGTACAGGTGCAGAGTGCCTTGGCTTCTGGAAACCATGAGTGGTAGTTACAAAATGGCCACAAGGTGACCATCCAAGCCTCCTAAAGAACGTAGAACCAAGCTGACAAGAACACATCATCACGCTATAAAATAAAATTTAATAAATAAATAAGAGGAACAAAACAAATAGTACAAATCATGTATAAACATACTGATTTTGTCCAGTGACCATCAGTCCTGTGAGCGAGGCTCCAGTCACTTGTTCGCCAAATTATCACAGTCTTATCATCGGATTGACTTGCTATGAAGGAACCAATGGGATCCCAAGTAACCCCCTTAACCAGACTAGAATGACCTCTGAGAACAGCAACGCATATGCCACTGCTTATATTCCAGATATGGACAGTATTGTCAAGACTTCCACTAGCTAATGTTGAGTCATCTGGAGACCAATTAAGATCCACCTACTTTAGGCATGAAAAAATCAACTCCCGGATTAGAGAATACACCGTCAAACAATTGGCAAATCAGATTGAAAAAATTAGGGGATGTTTGTATTACATGCAAATTGAAATCACCTCATCTTATATTTTATTTTATGCACCAAATCAGGGTACAAATATGTAGTTCAAAATGTAGGCTTTGTTTGGTGCAGTGCAGCTTATGTGATTGCTTATAACTTTTTTATGTTTGCATTTTGTGTCAGACCGTTTGGGGTAGCTTCCGCATATTATGAGGCAGAAATAGCTTAAATAAGCTAAAAAAAACTTATTATTGAAAAGCACGAGAAGAGGTGCCTTTAGCTTTTACTTTCTAATTATTAGCGTACAAGAAGCTGCACCGAACAAGCCCATAGCCATTACGAGCAAAAAGAGGAATAGGGGGTGGGCGAGTGCAAGCTATGGATGATTTTAATTTCATGAAAACAAAAAATTGATACGTACACATGCAGCAAAATTTCAAATTAGATTTAGAATCAAGGGATTCAATTTGGTTAGATAGTCAAAGATCCTCAGAATGAAAGCACTCTTATTACCACATCCGCAGTGTGTCCTCTCAAAGTCATGGCAACTTTCCAATTCTCAATATCCGGTGGCTCTCCGCTACCAAATTCAGTGGTTCCTGAACCAGGTTTCCTCTCATGAATTAGAATCGCCTGGTCGTCAGACCCTGAGGCAACATACCGACTATGCTTAGCCCACCTCACGCAGTTAACAGACCCGAAATGATCACGAAGTGTTGCAAGAAGTTTTGATGTTGATTCATTAGTTTCCAAATCCCGGCCAACAGATTTCATGTTCCATATCCGTACCTGCTTGCAAGCCAAAATATAATTAAATATTGACTCTATCTTTCATAAAACTAAAGAAACAAAACATAAAAACTAGAAGTCACGACCCTTTAAACTCATGCGATGGCCTAAATTAATCACGCCAAAAAACTAATCAAGGAAGTTGCCATCCAGCTCCATTTAAGATTTAGTTTCACTTGTATGTAGTCTCAAATTGTACCCTGAAAATTAATTTACACTCAAGTGATGTGCAGTCCATATTCAATTTTTGTATAGTGGGACCCACGCTTGAAATTAATCTCGATAACACAACTTTTTGTGGGTAAATTTTCTAGGTTGTAACCTGTCAGCTTGCTCATATGTAAGTTCAACAAGCACAACCTAAAAATTCACAATGTTAGAATTCCATGCTCAAAAGAACATTTGCGTTGAAGCAACAAGTTATAAAAATCGAGAGAGAGCAAGAGAGAACAATTTGGAGATACCTCATTCTACAAGATCAGAGTACCATTTAGGTTGTGCTTGGTTGGAGGATTTGGAAAGGGAGAGAAATGGAAAAGGTAGGTGAAATATGAGATATAACAACATTTCACTTAGTTCCACACACCTTTTCCCTTTCCCTTTCCCTTTCCCTTTCTCTTTATAAATTCCTCTCCAAATCCTCAAACTGGAGAACAATTTTATGTATTAGTGGGTGAATTTTGGGTATCAACGAACAAACTATCCAAACCACTATATACAATCCAAGCATTCATGACTGAAATAGATTGAAACAGAACTTAACATTCAAGTACAATTGAAGACCATGTCAACAAGAGAAATCAAATTATGTCACTGATTGAGTAAAGCTACACAATTAACAACCAAACATAACATAAATAAACAAAACAAAACAAAAGGACCCAATAGAGAGCATGAGACAAAAAAAAAAAAAGACACTGTACCTTCTGATCACCACCACCTGTGGCAAACCTAAGCCCACCAGGTTGAATATCAATGGAGAAAATCTGCATACCCTCATGTGCAACCCAACTGGGTTTCTCTGCAATCATCTTCAATTTTTGTTTCCGATACTAAAATTCAAAAGGGTTTGCAAAATCACGCCTTTGGAACAAGATAAACCCTAGATGGGTTCAAGGACTCAAAAACCCTAAATTGTTTTTGGGTTAGCGTGAAAGACCCTTTACTCTGAGAAAACCCTAGAGGGCGTTAAGGCCGGTGAGCTTGAGCTTGAACTTGAACAGGAACCTTAACGGTCGAATCTTCTGTAAGATTGCGTGGGTCTGTGAGAGGAAAAGCAAAAGACTGCAAAAAAATAAAATAAAATTTTGGGCAAGCCTGAAATTTATGACAATTTTAAAAAGCTCCCCTTAATTTTGAATTTTTTTTAATTTGTTTTTAAATTTTTGTTTTTTTTTTGTTTTTTGATAATTTTTTGTTTCGTTTTTAATAAATCTTTTTGGTTTTGGTCAAACATTTTTACTTTTTTTAAATATGTAAATTAAATTATTTGTTAAGTAATATGGAAAAAATTGATAACGATAAAAAAAAATTCAAAAATAATTTTTCTTGTTTATGGTAAATTTTTTAATTAAAAAATATAAATATTTAATTGGTAAGTGTATCTAAAAATATATAAATATTTAATTGGTAAGTGTATCTAAAAATAAAATATTTTTACAGAAATCACTAAGAAACAAAGAGTTACCAAAAATATATATATATATATATATATATAATTAATTAATAACTCAAAACAATTTTCAAATTTAAAAATCAAAAGAAGATGATTATTCACTCCTCACATCCTTATTTAGAAGGCATAAACTCCTTTTTAATTTTAATAAATGAGACCAACCAATCAACACTAATACAAACAAAACGAAACCTTCTAAAAATGAAGGGTGGATATCTTTTCTCCATCTCTTTAAAGAATCACCTTTTAACTTTTTATTAAGAAACATTCTTCAACTATGTTATTAAATTTACACGAGATAATTGCAAAAAAATAGTGAGAACATAAAATAATTAAAAAGTAATAAAAATACAATATTTACTTGCACAATTTAATATATAAATTGTTTAAACTTTTATCACTTAGTAATTATTTTGTGATATTATCACTTTTCTACAATTGTTTCAATTTATCTCTTCTTAATAGGAATGTACTTATTTACATATTTATATGTCAAGTTTAATTTAATATGAAATTTGAGCTGAACTCAAATAATGACCAAAGCTCGGCTAGTTGGATCTCAAGTTTATGCATTGAGCAATTGGGCAAGTTAAAGTGATTATTTGACTATCAACCCATAGAGAAATTCTATAGATCACTTGGCATAACGACAATATCAAACTATAAGGCTGGGTCAAAGTTATAATTTGGTACATGATAGTGTGTGAAAATGTTAAATTGAAACAATGATGTTTCAGTAGTGCAAGTATCATTTTAGCACATCAAGCCCTTGCTTTTTTGTGTCCTTCAAATTAAAAACCCTCTCTTGAGTGAGTTGAGTTCACATAAATTACATTACATAATCTCGTGTATAATGTAGTACAAAATTCAACAATGTTAATTTGTTAAAAAACCCTTTTAACAAATTGCCGGAGGTTTTTTATTTTTTATTTTGATTACAAAAAAAAAAAATCTTAGGATTAGGTCCTTAAAACAAAATAAATTCTAAATTTAAAAAAAGAAAAAAGAAAATTGATGACCCAGAAACCTCCAAGGTCAGACTCATTTATGACCCGACTCTACAAGCCAACTCAGGAAAAGATGTCTAGAAACCCACCCCTCACCCTCCAATTTCAGTCAAAGACTATAAGGAGATTGATATAAATTTCGAATCTGAAACCTTGAGTCACGCAAACCATTACCTTACCAACTATAAGGAGATTGATATAATTAGTCATGACTTTTCATGAAATTTTTTCCTTTCACATGTAATTAGTTATCTACTTGTCACTCATATCAAATTCTCAACCAATTTTTAACTTGTGTGACAATCTCAACTTGTCGTAACATTCAAAATAGGAATTACATTCTCATATCCAACACACCTGAAACGACAGAATGAGAAGGTGATTCCTATTTTACCTTCCTATTCTTACTATCTCCTGAGTAATTATCAAAGTGTTAACTTCAAATATAAAGACATATATCTTGAAGTTACTCAGTCCACAATTTTGCTACATATTACTATTAAATTATTAATTTTTCTACTGACTACATACTAGGCGTGATCGTGGTTCGATTTTGAATAATTTGCGAATCGATTTAGACCCGCCTGTATGTATACAGTTTAAGAAAAATTCAACTCACAACCGCCCACAGTGCAAGCTACGATTTGTGCAGATAGGGTACGCGAATGTACACGCGATTACGGACAGTTTGCAGATTGAACTTTTTTTCTTTAAAAATTTATTTTTGAGCCTTTTTTTTCCCGTTTTGTAAATATTTATTTTGGGTCATTTTCCTTCCATTTTCTAAAATGCTCCATCATTAATAATTAATAAATTAAAACTTATAAAATTAAAAACACAACAAAATCAATTCCTAATACAAACAAATCAATCAAAATCCTAAACTTTTATCAAATCATAAACTAACACAAGCACATCTTTCAAAACCTTAAACTAGATCATCAATCTCATTCACTATACAATACCTAACAAGACCATTAAAGTAAAATCATTCAAAATCCAAAACTTACCTAAAACTAATTCTTCATTAACTTTTACATTCATAAAAAATCCAATAATAAAATAACAACGGTCCTGGTCAAAATAAAAAATAAAAGTTTAAATGCGGGCGAGTTCTTGCAAGTGCGGGTTAAACCCGCAATCCGCTCGCAACCTGCAATCATTTCATATTCCAAACTGCATCCACTCACATTGTGTCTACGAAACCACCCATTTGTATACAGATCGGTATAGATTGGGCAGGTTGTACAATTCAAATAACCCTATGCCGAGCCCTACTACATACATGGGTGTGAACCCTACACCTATATCTACGGTTAGTAGAAAAATAATAATAATAATAATAATAATTTCATAAGACACTATCGTTTTTCCCACCATTTAATTGAAGTCAATAAAACAGAGATCAAGCATTTTGCATCAAAGGCCAGTAACTTAGGAGGGTGCATCAAGTATTAGATGAGGAGGCAACCAAATCATGCATTTCATCATCAGCTACAACTAACTACTCGCAAGCCACAAATATGAGATAAAACAAGTCGTAGTGATAATTGAATCCACGACCTCCAGAATTACCATTGGTCCCAAACCTCTCTTAAACCATTCCAGTACCTTGGTGGGTATGTGCTTCAATTTCAACTTTTACTTAATTTGTGAAGAATGAAGTTCTTACTTTTTTTCAACAATTTGATTAAAAAAAAAAAAAAGAAAAGAAAGAAAGAAAAGAAAGAAAAAGATTAAAAAGAAAGAAGAGGTCAATAGAAAAGATAAATCAATCTAAAGATCTTTTAAAAAGGACAACCAAGCGGGGTCCGAAAGGACTTAGATGTACACAACCTTATCCCATTTCAAGAGAGATGGTTTTCTTGACTCGAACCTACACCACCATGAACAATAAGGGAAGCCTTACCATTAGCGTCCCGGGTTTGAAAAATTATTGCAGAAAACAGGGGGGAAAAGAAAACAAAAGTTTCTAAAAAAGAAATCCAGAAACCAAAATACACTTACCTGGAAAATTGGAAAGGCTTGTTATAACATAATGCTTTCAAATAGAAAGGCCTGACCAAACACAGGCAACTAGTATTTCATACACATCATCTTTGACAACATTCCGAGCAATACCCATTACTCTCTTTTTTTACAATCAATTAAAACAAGAAATTCAGAAAGTATCGTACCTCAGTTTCCCTCTCAATACAGAAGAAAAGCCAAAGTTGTATCGCCTCCCCAATAGAAGAAGCTTTAGATAGATCGATACATCTCCAAATCCAGCTGCAACATATAAAATACAAACGATAGCCAAAGCATCAAGTCGACGTGTATCCGTTTCATCACCCTTCCTCTCCAAACTCTTTTGTGAATCTCTCGTGCACATCAAGGTCAGATTTGCTCACAGTTGGCCTCTGTCTTGCAAGGACCTTGTCAAAATCTGTTTTAGATATGGGTGGCGGAATGATCTGCAAGGGCATTAATTATAAGGAAGAAGCATTCAGTTGCTCAAAAAAGTTTTTCTTGGGATCACAGATGTTGGGTTGAAGCATCTTTAGGCTCCGTTTGGCAAGAGCTAAACGGGACTTTTTTGGCTATTTTAGCAACAAAAGACAAAATAGGCTATTTTAGCCACAAAAAACAAAATATCACATCCAACCCATAATCATTACATTCTTCTCTCACAAAAAAGCCAAAAAAGTCAAAAAGCCAAAAAGTCCTTCCCAAACCAAACTTTTTAGCCCAAGCTAAAATAGCCAAAAAAGCCAAAAAGCTAACCCACTTCCCAAACGGAGGCTTAAGATAATTTTCTTTTCATAATATGTGATGTAGTTATCACCCGTTTTAACTTTCAATGGAAGCAATTCCAAGATGTCTAGTGTAAGATCTTTTTAAGGTGAATCAATTCAGTTTCATAAAATGCCAAAATTTCCCAACAGGAATAACTGACAAAATAAAATTCCATAATATGTAAGTACCTCTGAAGCAAGTCCTTTTGCAGCAAGGTCTTGCATTGTGGTTTGGACAGCACCTGGTTGCTTTGGTCCACATGGCATCCACAATCCATTAGTATTTACAAAAAACATGGCATCTTGGGTTTTCCGTACAGGTTCAAAGAGGACATCCTTAACCTAGTAGAGCAAAATAAACAAAAACAAAATAAAAATAAGAACTTGTATACATACGTGTGTGTGTGTGTGTGACAGAGAGAGAGAGATGCTAAAGCTAAAACACATGCTATTCAGGACTCCTTTAGATAAAAGGCCTGCTACTCGGGAAATTTAGAAAATAGTTCATAAGGCCCTGCACTTACACAGACGGCAATATCTGAACCAGAAAAGCCTTCTGTTCTACGACCTAAGTTTTCGAAGTCACTTTCAGTCAAGTTGTGAGGGGTATCCCCTAAATGCACCTGCAAAAGTAGAACAAGTCAACCCAGTTGTGAGGGGCATCTCCTGTATGAATCCCTGACTATAGAACAAGGTCATGTTGTCCAAACTTTGTTGGATTTTGTTTCTTGAAAGAAGATGAGAAACAAGTCCTTTACTTTAAACATGTGTTGCCGTGCCTTCGCATCTGGAAGGGGAATGTATATACGCTTGTCAAACCGTCGCCTGATGGCCTGTAATAATTATCTATTAGCTACATTAGGAAAATCTTTACTGTCATAGATAAATAAAAATAAAAAGTACTTTTCGTAATCCCCTTGCCTGATCCAGAGCATAGGGAGTATTTGTTGCTGCCAGAACGAGAACTTTATCATCATTGTGTCCAACACCCTGAAAATGTATTTGGTAAGGAAAGGAAGGAAGAAAGAAAGAAGGAAAGAAAGAAAGAAAAATAATTCTACTAATGAGGTTAAGTACCAAACTCAAACCACTAGAATGATGGGGAAAAGGGAGCTCAAAGAAAAACAAAGTGGATAAATAATGATTTAAAGCAATGACTTGCAATGTACAAATATCCAGCATTTGGATACATATCCCTATATCCTAAGATTAGGATTTAGAGAGGTTCAATACGTGGACAAACACCCGCACCCGATACTCATACCAAGTCCATGTAACATAGGTTAAATACTTCTATAATCTGTAGTATGACATGATATTAATAACAGTGTCCTTCCAGGTGGATTTCACAAACTTCCACCATTTTCCTTGCAATCCTAAAATAAGTTTCCATGTTGTAAGATTGATTCATTCAAACTCCATCATTTGAAAATGGAACGGGAAAGTACCTACAAATTTGAAGTTGTAAAGGGAAGTCAGAATGTTGGATTCACAACTTCACAGTGCAAAATAAATACCTGCATCTGCACAAGAAGTTCTGTTTTGATACGTCTGGAAGCTTCACTCTCATTTCCTTCTCCACGCTGGCCACATAGAGAATCTATTTCATCAATGAAGATGATTGAAGGTGCACTTTCACGGGCCATTTGGAAAAGGTTTGAAACTAGCTTTTCACTTTCACCCATCCACTTCGAAACCAGGTCTGATGAAGAAATACTGCACAAAAACAGCAGTTGGCACTTGCCAACTTGTTGGCCTAAGTTCATGAACATAAAAATAAAAATAGAAAAAGAGGCACAGACCGCAGATGTGTGTGCACAAAATATGACAGACAGATGAAACATGTTTAACAAAGATGACATTGCATGTGCACCAGATATGTTGCAGCAGAGTTGAATACTATACAAATGTCATTCCCATGAATTCGTAAAATGAAGAAGATGCCTTAAGCATTTCATTTATATCTCTATCTTCATGGCAGGGACTTCTCGTCTTCTTGTTTTTAATCAAGAGTTTATATTTCCTTTGAAAGATTCCATGGCTATAAGACCCTCTTGACCATACAATTAGCTGGCTCATTACTAGATCTGGAAACCCATTAGAATTTTATGGGGAAAGAGAAGGCCAAATCAAGCACTTTCCACAACTAATGCAAGAGTTGTCCATAAGACCCTCTTGACCATACAATTAGCCGGCTTATTACTTGATCTGGAAACCCATTAGAATTTTATGGGGAAAGAGAAGGCCAAAATCAAGCACTTTCCACAACTAAAGCAACACCGAGCCCAATACAGGGTACACTTCAAAAGGAGGCGCACTCAAACTTAAGTGCCTCATCCCTCAAAGCTTTTTATCTACTCCTCTCGCCTCAAGGCACATCTTGAGGTGCCACTCAGAAACACTCTTTAAAGTGCTAATCTCCAACTCAGCTCCTAGAATTAAGCCAGCTAACAACTACAGAAGAATCTACTCCTGCCAGGGAGTGATGGAATTTCAAAGTGACAGTATTCTGAAGCCCCTCAAAAACAAGTAAAATTTCCACCTCTGCAGCAAAGCCTTCACAACACACTTAGCAAAAACCTAACAATGTTTCCATCATTCCTAAAGTTCCTTCAATACCACGTTGTCCTAGATTACCTATAGAACAACCATAAAAAATGAAAGGAGTTCTCATGACTGGATGCAAGTACACCGAGTGCTAGGAAGCACCATAGTAACTGTCTTGTGAAAGTATTGATTCCAATCGCTAAGGACAAACCCCAAAGAAATACGTTTAAACTGATACAAGTTCAAAGAGAAACCATGAAGTGCACTTTATCCAAACTTCCTTCTAAGAAGCATGCTTTCCGCCAAGAATTCAAGCATTTCTTCCAAAAAGAAAAGATTAAAAGGGAGGGAGAAGGAGAAACTAAAAATAAAGAAAAAAACCATCCATCAATGTGTTGATACCAAGGGTTAAGGGTAGCTACCAAAATAATGCTACATAAGAAATAGTTTTATTGAAGCACCACAGCACATACAATTCAGTTATAAACGAGAACCAATTTCACTACAGATGTGAGCTGTGTATTTGCTGGTTGCTGGTGACAAAAAAGACAAATAGAATGCAATTTCTCAGAGAAGTGCTACCCCATTCTCCATTCTGGTGAAGGTATACCCCATAGCCATTTTCACTACACATAGATTCCATTATAGAAAAATTATGCTTTCCTTAGTAAATGTCTCCACTAAAATCAAAACCCTAAAACCAAATATGGAACAAATTCATCTTAGACGAATCCCCTTGGTGGGATGACAAGGGATATAGGAGGTAATAAAAACCATTGTAGGCATATAATTTCCAATGATCCCAAACTGCTGAACTGGTTTTCAGTCAGAACTGACAGTGACTTGAATCCAGAATATTTTTTGTAGGTCTCAAGTATCCATGTATTCAAATGTCATAAAACACAATGAAAGGAAGGCTCCTTAATACTTATTGATCATTATAATCATAAATCCAATCACATGGACAATTTGGCCATCATAGATTGTAAGGGAAAAAAAAAGCAAAAAACAAACTAGCTCATATATGCTACAACCACACAGAAAATGTCTAATGAAGCAACTTTTTCCAAGATGAATTGAGGGATAACCCATACACGCAAACAAATATTAAAGATTGATTATGATATCGTATAGAAACCTTAACATTGTGCTGATCAAAAAAAATAAACTTAACATTGCACAGCATATGGAATGCGGTAACTATTGAACCTTCATGGAGAAAATCTTGTGTGATAATTCACGAACAGATACAACAAACAACTACTCAATACAGTTACATAAGCATCCATCATGGGCACAGAAAATGTAAACATATGCATTAAAGTTTGACATCAAGCAGCAAATCACAGAAATATTAAAGATGCAAGTGAAAGAAAACTCCAGACCTCTTGAGACAGGAAAAAAATATGAGGTGAAGTTAAGTACATGGGTAACAAAATGTATATACATTTTAAAATCTAGCTACAACTGCTGCATCAAGAAATTAAAAAGAAAAAAGAAAAAAATACTGACGACAAAGGGTAGATATTTTCTAGAAGCAAGGCTAGCTGCAAAGACTGCATGAAGATACCACAGGTCCGCAACCAATAAACGTATATGGATATCTCATACAAACAAGCAAAACATTAAATGTTGATGACGGATAATTTACCTGAAAAACGTAGAATCAGCTTCAGTTGCGACAGCCTTGGCTAAGTAGGACTTCCCAGTTCCAGGTGGGCCATACAAAAGAAAAGCCCTCCATGGCCGCCTCTTCCCTAAAAGAGAGCAAGCAAACAAGTAATATCGTAACATCAGCTTACTTATCGATAAAATATATATATATTGTAAAATTAGATCAAATGAACTATAAAAACCATGATTTCAACATTATAATAGCATTGATCAGTAACAACAGAATAAACAATAGCATTTTCCTAGTCGCCTCTCCCATCAATGACCAACACAGAGCCAATGTTGTCTCAGATAAAAAGGAAGCACTTTATCACACTGCACATGCATGAAGCATGAGAGCAGCAATTTGCTAGGCTTTCTAAACATCAGCCTATTTCATTATCTTCCATCAAAGAATAAAAGCTATAAAGAAATTCATATACAAGCCAATAAAATATATATATATATATATATGATATCATATTGTTGTATTGCTGCCATGTCCCTATCCTGATCTTTTGAACTCACTGTATCTCATGCCTATATACCCACCCATGTATACATTATAGTAGAAATGATAGGTGATTTGAGTTTTTCAGAAGGCTCTCAAAGCTGTGTTTCATGTGTGCATGGTTTGCACCCCTATGGTGCTTTTAGTTTATTACTAATCTATCAAAACAAAAACGAAATTGCTTAAAATGAAAATCACAATATAAATACAAACAAAATCAAACACTAATTTGATTTATTCAACAAGCCAAGATCAACGGAAGAAGAAAATTAAGAACAACAATAAAAAATTAAACAGACCTAAGCAAAGTCCATATGAGTCACGATACCCCAACAATATGTAAAAATGTGAACAGGGAAATAAAAGCTATCCTAAAACAATGGTGTAATAGCCTCCAAATTTAAGATAACACACAATTCTAACACGTAAACACCCACGTTATAGATAAGGATACAGATGTTAAACATTTAAAATATAAGTGCAACGCATGCTGTGTTTGGTTGAGAAATTTGAGGAGAGATTTGGAAACATAAAGTGAAAAGATAGGTAAAATGTAAATAAAATATATCTACATTTCACCTAATTTTACATACATTTTTCCTTTTCCCTTTCCCAAATCCACCCACATCCCCAAACCAAGCACAACATTAGGGTTTTAAATAAAGAATCGTATTGGCCATTACGTAACAGATGTAACAGAATTTTGCTCTTCTTACACCGTTATTCAGTGATATAAAAATTGGCCAACAACACTGTCGGCTACTCTCCAATACTGGCCGATATATTATTATATCACCAATACTATCCCGATACAAGTGCACTATAATTTGATATACATCCATCCTTGTCCAAGACCTAGAATTTAAACAAAACCCACTCTCATGTGGCCAAAAAATGGACCCACTCCCAATCAGAGATTAAAATTTGTAGTCATTGTACTTCATTCAGTTGAAACAGATTCAATCAATTACAAAACCAATCAAATTATATCCAAACTAAGAACAAAGCAATCAGACTCAAATCCATATTCAACTCAATTCAATATTAGAAAAAAGAATGAACTAACCAACAAAGAACTGAGGGAATTTAACAGGCAATATAACCGCCTCCTGCAACGCCTGCTTGGCACTTTCGAGCCCCGCAACATCATTCCACTTCACATTCGGTTTTTCCCTGATAATCGCCGAGTTCAGCCCGGCCCGAAGCTTCGACTGTTCCGGATCCTCGCCCCCATCTTCCCCATCCTTGGGCTTGGTCTTGGGCCGCGTGGCCACCGCCGCATCACCGTTGGCGGCTGGGCCAGCACCGCCGTCGTCGAGCACAGCTCTGATCTCCTCCGCCCTGCGCAAGTACTCGGTGAATTTTTGAGTAATCGCTTCCTTGATCTTAGGGTTTTTCTCGTACTTCAAGTGCGTCTTGAAGTATTCCAAAGCGTTCATGTAGAGAGGGAAGGCTTTGGCGTAGTTTCCGGCATTGTCTTCGTGCACAGCTTGTCTCACGTACTCGATCGCTTGCTCCTTGAAATTACTATACATCTTCTTCTTCTTCTTCGCACATATATATATGAATAAATCGTCTGTGAAATTGAGAGGAAAAAAAAAAAGTAAATTGTAATGATTGAAGATAGGGTTTTGATGATGAATTTGAAACCCTAGAAATGGATTTTGGGGTTGATAATTTGATCGAAGAGGAAGAAGAAGAAGAAGTCAGCGATCGAAATGGTTTATTCGGATTTGTTCAATTTGATTGGTTGAACACGTGAAGATTACGTAGATGAGTGCGTGCGTGAACTTTTCGATCGGCCCAATCCCAGACGAGCGAGCCAATGGGCCTGGATCGGGATGTTGTAGAGCATCGTCAAACTTGGGATGGTAATATCAACCCGGTCCGATGAGAATCCGGACCGCTCCGTCCTGATAAATAGAATATTTCTTAAAAATTATTCTTTATAGGGCTGGGATTGGTATTGAAAATACATTTTCGAGCCGGAGGCGGGGATAGGCTCCTCAGCCCCAGCCTGACCCCGCCTCGAAATTTTCCCGATGCGGCCCCGCCTCTATGCCTCTTTAGTTGTATTATATAAATATCTGTTTTCATGTTATCTTCTCTCTCTCAACTCTCTCACTTACTCTCTACTCTCTCACTCTTTCACTCTTATCTTCTCTCTCAACTCTCTCACTCTCTTCACTCTCTTGTTCTCAACTCTCTCTCAACAATCTCGTTCTTCTCTCTCTCACAGCTCTCTCACAGTGTTCGTCATGGTGACATCACCACCACCACCGCTGGCCCCGACCCCCCTCTCTCTCTCTTCTCCTCGCTTCGGTTTCTCTTTCTTTCTCTCCACTTCATCTCTCTTTATTCTTAAGTAGAAGGTCCGTCTCTCACCACCACCGAATCCACCGCCACAGCCACAGCCACCGTCACCGTCGATCTCGCCATAAGAGCCTGGTCATTGGCCAGATCTGTACTCAGATCTGTTAGATCTGTCCTCAGATCTGTTAGATCTGTCTTCTCTCTCTCTCTGATCTGATGTTGTTGTTGTTGATCTGTACTCAGATCTGCGTTGTTCAGAATAATTTTTTTTTAATTTGTGTTAATTATATATTGATCTGTTATATTTTGAACAAAATTGATCTGTTAGATCTGTTATATATTGATCTGTATTGTTCAGATTAATTTTTTTTTAATGTGTTAATTATATTTAATCTGTGTTAATTGGATCTGATACATATTGATCTGTTAGATCTGTTATATATTGAACAAAATTGGTTTGTTGATTTGTGATATATATTGATTAGTCAGTGATTTGTTGAACAAAATTCGAAAAAAAAAAAGCTCGGGGATATTTCAAGGCCGGGGAAACCCGATCCCCGTTAGGGGACGGGGACAAGAGGGTGATGAGCTCCCCCGCCAGGGGCGGGGTGGGGGCGGGGGCGGGGATTTTGTAATCTTCGAGGATCGGGGACAAGGGGGCAGTCCCCGACCCCGCCGCGGCCCGTTGCCATTCCTAAAGTTGAATAAAAAATTTTATTAAATTTAAATAAAAATTTAATTTGATATTGTTCACTTTAATATTGAATTTAAAACTTTTATTAGATTTTTTCATATGTCCAATTGTCCGGGAGAATGTTCAAAAAGATGTCTTGGAGATCATTCGAACATGAATAAAAAAAACTATCAAATTGTTACAATTTAAATTTGATAAAAGATCAAACCTCCCTCTATTTAATAAAATATTTGCTTCTCCTTCTATTTGATATTACTTTAATAAAAACGTTTGAGTTTACTTTTTAAATTTTTTTATCAAATTTGAATTTGATGACAAATTTAAGTAAAGATTAGAGATAATCAGTTTCATTTTGTTTTTGTTTTTTTTAACACATTTTGTTATTGATCTTCCGTTTTAATTAGGTTTAAAATATCATCAGACCATTTATGTTTTGCTCGAAAGTTTATAACAAAGCCAATTTTTCAACATAAATCGTCCGGATACAAGATATGAATTTTTTTTTTTTTCCTTTCTATTTTTTTAGATGTGAAAGTCTTCTCTTAGTTGACCTAAAAATTGTTGTTAGATTGTGTTTAAATCATAAATTGAAATAAATTTTTGAAAAAAAAAGTAAGAAAAATATAAATGAAATATATATTTTTTTTTCATTTGTTTTTCTTCCAAAATTTATGATTCAAATATAACGTTAATATATTTTAAGAAAATTTTTAAATCTCATTTTGAGAAATGGTGATCTATTTAGACCCAAAAATTTTTATGTAGACCAATTGGTCCTATTGATTTTGAAAAGATAGATTTAATATATTATTTGAAAATAGGATTTACGGTTATATTTTTATTTCTATTATGTTTTCTAATCTTTTTTTTCTTTTGTGCTAGAAAGGTAAGGTACACAATTTATGAAAATCAAATTTGGGATCGATTTGTGTACGAGCACAAAATATTCTTCTCGTCTAATCCTGTTGATCAAGTTTGCGCTTCTCCAACGTTGTCGCTTTATTTCCTGAAAACACAAACGTGAGCTAGCCGGCGGGTGTGTACCGGATACCTCTCCAATGCCTAAGTCAGCAAATAGACGATAGACAAAAAGTTCTGTATATTTTAGAGTAAGAATTGTGATACTTGTACATAGGTCCTGTTATGAGCTTTCATAGATTCCACCTGACATAATCCTAATAAGACTTTAGCTCTCTTTAGTAGAGTCCTCCTAGGAATCACAAAGATAATGCTTAACTTTTTACATCCTTCTCACTGCTTAACCAAGTGAGATGGTCTTACCACGGTCTGGTAGCAAAACAACCGAGCTAACACCACCGTGCTGTACAACAGATTTCACCGAGCTCACCTAGTTCAGTTCTGCCTTGTCCTCTTACAACTCGGCTCTCTTCTTTCTACACCTTAGTTCAGAACAGTAAGACCAGTCTATTGGCAAACAGTTTTGGCCAAACTGATGGCATAAAGGACTAGACTTCGCAAGCCATCACCACAGCCTATAGCTCGGTCCATTTCCCATCTTGTTCCAGCTCGGCCCATGTTCAAACATAAATTACCCTCTCAATTGCCCCTTAATTCCATCTGCAACGCATGATTTGGATTTATTCTTCTCCAGCCGAACTAAAACGTCTCAGCCGACCGAACTAAAGCAGGTAATACCACCGTGCTTAAAATATTCAACTCCACCGAGCTGGATAAGATCGGTCTTCAGTACTGTACCTGCCACAACCCGTCACTTCACGTACCTGACATTATGTCCTGTTTGTGACACATGGCAGATACCTATTGACTCCTTAAACTGCCACAGCCATCCCACGTTTATCGAAAAATGTTCGAAAAGTCCTGCCGTTTTTATGCCTATTCAAAACCCATTTTCTGAATCTCACCCCTACTATTCATCTTCTTCCCTTCTTGTACTTTTGAGACCTATTCCCTCTGCGATCCAGTATCTTGCGCTCCAGCTCCTTGCGCTATACTTGCTCCATTGCTGTTTGGATTTTTTCATTCACCCTAAAACTCGTAAGTTCATAAAAAAACCTCTTTTTCTTATGCTCCTTTGTATTCATTTCTATACTTGCATCTTTAGTATTTAATCTCCATATACGTGTGTTAAAAATGCTTGAACAAACACTTATGAACTTAAAAAGCCTTACTCCCAAACATAAAGGCTCACCAACTAGTTTTCAAAAAATATGCTTTGATCCCAAATCACTTTGAAACCGAACTAGGTACTTGTTTGTGAGTCCAAAGTTGTTTTGAGACCGAACTAGGTACTTGCTTGTGACCTCTAGGTTTATTCCTGACCGAGGTATGAACCTTGGGTCGGTCCTGCATTCCTACCTGTCACGACCCAAACCCGCCCCTATGGGCTTATCATCGTAACCGGCCGGTAATCTGTGATTACCAAAGGCCTGCTTGACAGTAATAATAATAGTACAGAGTAAGGGGCTGGAAGAAGCCAAACAGTAAATAGAAGATGTCCAATGAGTTGTGAAAATCTGAGTGGAAAAAGACTTTTATAGACTAGTCCACAACATAACCATAAACATATATATACGTATCAGATACGCGTAACATACAGGTTAGGGATCCAATCCCTTCACCATAACTGTACAGCCAAAAGTCTTAAACATTCGTTATAAAACAGAGACAAAAGGGTAAATCTGAGACACCCTAAAATAGCCTTGGCTTGAACAGACTTGGAACCTCAAAGTGAGGCACAATGGTTGGCTTGACAAAACAAGAGCTTAACTTGACACTCCTAGCTTTGGTCCGATGCCTGACCACCTACATACATATATAAACGGTAAGCTAAAGCCCAGTGAATAACAAATGTGTAAAGGGGTTAAGAATGAATGTCCTTTTATTAATTAAAACAGTCATTTGCATCAGTAAATCAATTATTCAATCAGTGGCTCATATTTCATGTCGTATCAGTCATTTAGAAATCATAACAGTCATGCGTGGTACGTTCAATAGCAAAATAGTACAGTAGGTCTTAATAGACCGAACAGTCAGTTGATGGCCATCAAAATAGTAAATAGTAGTAGTTCCAAACATTGGAACTGACAGAGATCTCTGTAACAGTAACAGTAACAGTACAGTAACAGTAAGTTGCTATGGATGCCACAAGTACAATTTACAAATAGGACAAACATTCATTCAATAAACAATGTCATTTCAGAAAGCAGTACAGTAAATCGTTCAAAAATAATTATAGTTGAACGCATCTTTATAACATTGTTACTCACAAATCACTGGGCTATAGACAGGCTAGTCAGCGTCCTCGGGTGCCAACCTTATACAGTTGCAGAATGAACACACACTAAGTTACACAGTTGGGATTAATAACTTAGCCCCTATATGGCTTGGTGTGGTTCTATAACATTGCCCTCATTAAGATGCCTTAAACATGGCCTAGGAATGCCTAGGATGGAATGAGGATGCAAAAATGTACTTTAAAACACTTTTTCAAAATTTGCTGAAAACAGGGGTCTCGTTCGAGCGTGGCTTTCTCCGCTCGAGCGAGCTTACCAAAAACAAAGGGGTCGCTCGAGCGTAGACTCCCTCGCTCGATCGACCTATAAAAATGCAAAAAGTGTTGGTTGTTGAAATTCTTCGCTCGATGCTCGCTCGAGCATGAGACACAATTCCTCGCTCGAGCATGGGTCTCGTCGCTCGAGCGTGCGTCTACACACGTAAAAACCTGAGAGCTTGCAATCTACGCTCGAGCCAACATTCCGTTGCTCGAGTGGAGCTCTGAACACAAAGGTGGTCGCTCGAGCGTAGAAGCCAAAATCTGTATTT